AAAAGACTGGGCAAACCAATAATAAAAACAAACTTTATAAACAAAGAAACTTGCTATCTATTTAAAAAAAATGATTTTTTCAAAATTTATTGTATACAATAAACAGTTAAATATTTATCCGTAGGCTGCATTGCTACGTTTTATTACTGAAATGGCGTCTCATAGCCTCGTATGGTTTTGAAATCTCATGTTAAGCATGCGTGTAACAGAAGGTTGCGATGGTTATCATTTCATGAAATAATTATATGATTTTGTTTAGGATAATGAGAATAATTAATCAATATGGGCATTTTGATTAATTTTTATGCAAGATAACATATATTTTATTATTTTGAAATAATTAAATAATGCTGGTCACATATTGGGACGAGAACACGATATTCTTCATTGCTCGTATGAAGTTAATTGAAATATGCTGTCACTATTTCGTTTGCTCTTATCGTTACATCAAAGGATGTAATGATTACAAGATGGATAATGATATAATCTTGCCAGTATATTCTTAGAAGACATTGAGGGAATCATTAGGCTCCTAAAACTGACTAATTTCACATACTAATTTAAATAAAGTTTCGGCCGAATCGTAGGTTGTTATGCATTGTCGTTTTTATAAAACCTTTGAACGTTCTGTAAAAAAGGAATACTTTCCCGAACACGAAGAAAAAGGATTCCTTTCTGCCAATTTAATGTTTCTTATTCTCTTAAACATTGGCGTGTAAATACGTTTAAGTATCGTGTAGCTAAAGGAGGTAACGAAACTGTTTAAAGTTTTAATAACGTTATCGTTAATTTATACGAGTTGAATAAAAGTATTCTTTTTTGAGGGAACGTTCAAGTGGAGTTAGAGGACCGACTACTTATTAGTCCGTGGTGCATACATTTTTTTTAATTTTTTTTTTTTTTATTATTATTAATATCTGCCAAAAACTTCGTGAATAGCTTTATCTCATCGTAACCTACAAATATTTTATTTACGAAAATTCTCGGAATTGGGGAGTTTTCAATCTTGAGATCTGCCAACTTTGTCTATTCAATTAGTTACTAAAAAGTCATTATTATTAAAATAAAATTATTAACACGTGTCTGTACCACTGATTATATCCTCCGCAGTCTTTAGCAAACCGAAGTCAATGGTTATTTGGAACAAAACTTAGTTTATTCTCTGTTTTCACATAATTACATTTTTTTAAATAGTTTCCATTATATATAGTTAATGAATTAATCATATCGATTAGATTACAATTATGAGACTTTGCAGAATTGTGAAAATTACAACGATGACATGAATTATTGTGGGTTGATGGTTGACTGTAGTGAATATTGAAGAGAAGGATGGGTGGGGTGATCAGTCAAAATAAAAATGGCAAAAATAAATTATAATAATGACTAATAAAGTAATAATAAAAAAACAATAAATAATAATAATTTATTATATTATTATTGTTAAAATAAATATTATTATTTATTTTTGCCATTTTTATTTTGACTGATCATCTCAACCATCCTTCACTTCGATGACATGTTTATTTAACATCGGAACGGATTATTATCAAATTTCAAAGAGTTGACAAACCTTTAACCTTTCTACAAGGGACGAAGTTCAAATAGGTTTTCTTGTTGACATCGACGCATCAAACTACGTTTATGCTACCTTTAAATTATGCTCCGAATCAAACCTCCGATGGACGACCTCATGAAGGCAGTTACATCCAAACAGTTTCATTCATCCAAAGGCATGAAACCTTTTACTTTCGTCACTCCTACGTTCGCATTGTGTAAGCGCGGTCGAACCCGATTGACTCGGTCCGTCCCTGTAATTGGTTATCCAAGTGTGTTATCCAACTGTGAACGATTGTCGTCCGATTCCTCGAGCTTATCCAATCCTTATAATCCGTTTGTTTTTTTTAGCATAAAGCGCTCTTCCATTTTATCGAGTGTTTACAATGGAATTGTAAGCGAATCGAGGAACATTGTGGGATTCTGTGTTTCTTGATTTAGTTCCTGAAAATTGCTCAACTCTTCGTATTGATTTCACCGGAATTCAGTGCTTCCTAAAATGAAGTATTAAACAACATAACTTAAACAGAACTACAATAATATTGCACGGCTGCTCAATTATGTTGAGTTGCTAAATCTAACAACATACTGACCAGTTAACAGGTATTATTTAAAAATCGATACAAAAGAGAGTTAGGCAGAACCATTTTAATTTATAGCAAATAAATCAAATAATCGAATAAGCACAAGCAATGATTAATATATGTGGTGATGGAGGTTTCCCAACAATTCTGAAATAATAATTCCTGTCATGGCATCTCTTCCAACACCGATCCTCTGCAAGAAACCACTTGTAATAAAAGGAATAGTTTTGAATCACAGTCCTTTAACTGAGAATTTTCTCTCGTTGAATTCCTATTTATATTTTTGTTTTTACTGCGGTCTGCATTTCTTATAAATTTCCTCTTTCTCTGTCTGTACCTTGAATTCTCGATGTTTATCGTTAGTGTCAAAACTGTTCGTGGGATCCACTATTAGTGCCTCCTTTTCGGTCGCATCAACTTAGATTAAAATAAAAAAATACATCTCAGCTAATCGCTTTTATAACATTTTTTTGTATATTTTGGTAAATAGGTGATATACTGCCTTTATTTGATTAACCGTTTTCAGGACATTGAAATAGGCATACGCTTTCTCTGTTCTGATATGTGATCTAGTTTTTAGTCTCGGCCTTTAATTAGTACTGAATATATCCTTTAATTTTATTAAGCTCTAATCTTATTACTGTTAGTGTATTCGCTATTATTATTAGCTTAAAAAATACATAAAAAATAACTGCAAAACACATAAGAATTGATTTTATAAAATTGAAATTCAGTTTCGTTAGTTGAAGAACTTATCGATTTGGTCGCGCATCATTAACTTCTCGGCAATAAATGTCGTTAAGATTGTTTTGTGTTTCACCACCATTAATTCTTTCATGTTCTATTATCGAGTAAAAACGAGAGAAGTTATCCGTAGTTCGATTTTAGAAACCTCATCCGTTCACGAATGATTCATTTTTTTTCGCTCTCTAAACCAGATGTCGACATCGATAGAAGTATTGTCGCCTGAGACACAATGGTGACAATGACATCCTAACTTTTCACTTCCGCTCCTCCATTCATTCCTGATCCGGAGAACATTTTCGACCTTGTACCATTTAATATGGATAGCGGTTACTTACAAATAACCTGTTAATGGGTAATATTTGTTTAATCGGTTATTTTTCAGATGAACGATCACCATATATATGATTACTAGAAGTTACTGCTTCCTTTTCTAAATTCTCCTATTTAAGAGATGTGTTATTATTTCAATTAATAAAGAATTTCGAGTATCATAGAGTCTTGGATTTAACATTAAACATACTGTCGCGCTCTCGTTCAAACTCCACTGGCTTTAGCGAGAGAGTAGCGCAGGAATCTCTTGGAGTCTTGCTTTTTTTTCTGTAGTTGGAGGGAGAAGCCTGGCTTGGGGTTCTCTTACAGATTGTATATATTATATATAGGTATGACTGTGTTTTTATGTTTTTAATTTACTTAGGTTTAGGTTATTTTATTTTTTATTATACATAGTGTTTTTGATTATTATTAAGTTATTATTTTACTTTTGTTAATTATATATTTTCTGTAAATATGGTGTGAATGTGTTCATATATCACTATAATTATTGTCTACAAGACTGATTATTATATGTCTAAATAAATAAATAATAAAAAAAAAAAAACATACTGTTGGACATATCTATTCCGAGACAAAAAAATGTTTAGATTTGTAGTTAAATGATTTTGTGTTCTTAAAATATATAAATTAGAAACTAATCTAGCCCAAGAAAGAAAGGTTAGTATACACTTAAACCATAGAACCAAACCCATCAGCAAAATTTTAAGTCTCGCTGCCAGAAAAATTATATTTCTATTTATTATGATTTTTGTTATTAAAAATAAGTTATTCTATTCTAAAACAAGTTTCACTGATGCAACTGGAAGATTTATTTTTCTGGTCCTCACCTTCTTCGTTTTTCGGCAATACGAGTTTATTCCCGGACCAGAGGAGAGGGCGGGGGATTGATGCCAGTGTTAAAAGTTTACCTCTCGACACCGGGACACGAACTCGTATTTATCTTATCATCATTTAAACTTAGGTTTATCAGGTTGCCGAGTAAAGCGTGTTTTACACAAACGTTACCACGCTCGGCCATCCCGCCCCCTTTTTTTAGAGGGAGAGGAGCTCTTTCTACTTCACACAATCATAAATATCACAGTAATTGTCAAGAAACCACGCCAGATATCAGGAACAAGTTAGATAAAACAGGAATTCACAAGATATTTGAATTAAAATTAAAATTAATCAAATTTAAGTCTTTTTACTTCGCTTCCGCAATTCACTCTTAATAAAAACATACGATTTCTTCATCGTTACATATCGTTTACATAATTGTTAACAACTATCATCAAGCAGTTATAACATCATTTCTAAATAAAGGAAAATGAATAGTTACATATTTTTTTTACCAACAAGACATAAAACTGATAACATTGAATATTGAACACTTAAAGGTAAACAAAAAAAAAATTCTATTTTACTCATGAAAGAGGCCAATAATAAGTAATCGCTTACATTTTCCATTATAATTCCGAAGTCTTTTTTGTTTCATTATTTACTCAAAATATCCATTTTGGTTTTAGTCTATAAATACGTCGGAACGTATTCAATAAATAACCCAGTCGGTAACGGTTAAAAACAAGTTAAACTAAAATTATGTGTTTTTATTAAAAACTAATTTGCGGTATGGAAGTAAAAAAACGGGTAGACGGATACCACTATTCTAAGACAGACACTAGGTCGAGTAAGCGTTGAAAAGGAACCAGGAATGAGCAAATAAACTAAGTTTAGAAAAGTAGTAAGGTAAACGGTCATAGGTCATAGGTTCTAACAACTAAATAATTAAACTTTACTTACACATAGACAAATGGGCCCAATTCGTCGAGGATGGGCTTGTCCCCTCGGTTGAGGAAGTCATCGGCGTTGGTGACGTTGTAGACATAGACCCTGAAGACCGGCTCCACCGGTGGCTTCCTCCACATGTCGAAGACTTGGCCGCCTTCTCGGAGGGTGATTTCCTGCAGAGTAATGGTAACCAATCAGAATCATTTTGATAAAAATAAGTATGATATAAAATTAATATTTAACTTAAACATTTATTTACTTATTTATATTACATGCAATTACTTGGCCGGTTACATCAAGGGATGAGCAGCTTCTTAAGTCTTTTGAAAATAAAGTATTGCGTAGAATATTCGGACCGAAAAAGGATAAATTAACCGGAGAGTTCAGAAGGTTACACAACGCTGAATTGCGTGAACTGTAATATAATTGTGGTAATTTCATCGCGGCGAATCAAATGGCCTTATAAAATTGTTGGGCTTAGTAACGAGATAATTCCTAAAAGGTTAATATTTGCTATACCGAATGGTAAACGTCCGAGGGGTAGACCGAAGCGAAGGTGGGAAGATTGCATTAAAGCCGATCTGAAGGGACTGGGTTTGGACGGCGAACGGTGGAGAGAGGTGTGTAATAAGCGATTGGTGATGTCGGCATCGAACCTTCGGGTTCGCTAAGCCTTTTATTATTATTATTATATTCCATGCAATTTGCACTTGCGCGGCAGCACATCTACAAATTTGTTGTATTTATATATTTGTTGGTGTATTCGCTTGATTTTGTTTTTATCGATGTAGTAGGTCTCTTGGCCATTTCCTTTTTAATCTGCGTCGTCCAAGTCACAGGGAGCAGAAGATAGAAAGAACCAAAGGATTGATGTGAGTTTTAGTTGAAGAATAAAATGTAGAGTATGTAGGATTTTACTGTTGTTACTGGTGTTTGAGTCTTTATGTAATAGTGTTATTTGAAATGTACCCAGCTGTATTTGTATTTTGTCATGTGTATTTGTTTTGCCGAATCTCAAAGTTCTGCTCCATATGTCCATATTGGTCTCAGTAGGGTGTTGTATATAATTCGCTTGTTTCGTAAATTAAGTGCAGATCTGTAGTCCAGAAAAAGTTGAGAGTTGGCTATATCGTCTAGAAAGTTATTGAAACTTAAACATAGCATGGAAAATAGTAGAATATAGTTCGAAATAGAGATTGAACCCTCTTCGTACGACTTTGAGCGAAAATATTTGTATTTTTACATTCCTATCTATTCCAACCATGTCAGAAAGGGCTGTATATCGTACAGGTAACAACTTATTCCATTCTAAATAGGAACATCAAAATTTATTGTGTTGCGGCTCAACTGTGCATAAAAATCAAACCTTCTAATGGGGTTTCGAAGACGCATCTATTATAACTCGAATAGTGTGCTGCCTCAATATAATACCACCAGATACTAAAGCTACACGAAAAAAATTGAACGACACAAAGATGAAGAAGTAAATAATAGTTTCCCATTAGAAAAGTGTTGGAAGAACGAAATCACATTTAATCTCCGTTTATTTGGATTTTTTATGAGACAAAGTTTAGTGGAACATTTTATGGACTGTTCGATAGATGGAGTCAGTATTGCAGAAAGAACTCAGTTTATTTTAATATAAAATTTCAGTATTAAAGATGAAGGTTATCTGACGATATGACAAAAAAAAAAAAAACAACTAAGAAAGTCGTCATATTCTTACAACGCATCTATTGAACTTATGTTACAACTCTGATGGAGCCCACTAACATCTTAAAACAATTTTAAAAGCTTACAACCACAACAACAAAAAAATTGCTAAAGTTTAGATAAGCTCCGGTCGTTAAAAATAGGAAATAACAAAGATGACAGTATTTTTTTTTAATCGACCATTATTCTTCCTGATTGCTACGTCCTTATCTCGTTAATCTTAGAAATAAAATTGGGAATGAAAAGAAAAAAAAAATCAATAATCAACCATTGTGATAGACCAAAAAATTCAAAAACTTAACCCCCTCTCAAAATTTGAGGTTTTGCGTTTTTAATATATTCTACACCAATTGTTAATAATTAGAAAATATACCTATTTAATAGTTTTTTAATAATTAAGTTAACATGTAACATATTAAATGAATACAAATTAGCATCGTTACCATTCAGTGCCTATGCGTAACAGAATTAGTCACAATTTCGTGTTATTTGCTTACTCACTAGAAAGCTATTTCCAAGGTCTCACTTGTTTGCATTATTTAAAAGTTCAAATGGATATCTTTAGTACTGAATCCATTAATCAAACTAGTGACTAATAATTTCTCGAAATCCTTCCGGATTTTTCATTCTATGATATATTAACACGTATATTTTATATATATATATATATATATATATATACTTTGGACTTTAACTTCATAAACAAAAAAAAAAAAAAAAAAAAATCAGCTCTATTTATTTCATTAAGTCGACCAAAAATAATCTCAGAAAAAAGTAGTTTATTTTGTATTAAGTTCTGTAATATATTCTGAAGTAAATATCCTTTTTACTTTCTAATAGCTTTTATTCCATTTAGTAAGAGATTCTAAACTATCCAAAAATATTAATTTTTGATCAAATCTGTTAGGTAAGATTTAAGCAATGAAAGGGTAACATATGATACAAAGCTGTGTAATTTGTCCTTCGGTAAAGTTCGTTGGAAGAGAAACTATCGTAACAAGTCAGATGCCATCTCTATGAATTTTATCTCTTGTGTTTATCTAAAATGTTAATATTTTTTTCAAAATTTTGTAACGTTAATTAAATTCTGAAATGTCAGTTTCGAAATATGCGGAGTGTGACCTAGAACATTCCATTAGCACAGATCTACGGGGGATGGGAGCGGGGATTTTCGGACTGAAGTCCCCCCAAAATGGTAAAATATAACCATGTTTTATGAAAAATAATATTTAAAAAATGTATTATTGTTCGTCTGATTACTTTTAAATGGACGTAAAGAATCAATCAAACACCATTTAATATAGGTACTTAGTTTCTTTCTTTTTCTTCAAAAGTAATTATCATAATACATTTATATAAAAAAAAATCTTACGGACTGAAGCCCCTCCCCACAAAAAATTAAATCCTGGATTCGTAAGTGTCCATTAGTAAGGAGAAAAACATCTATAGTTTTGTTTCAAATTATTCATTTTTATTTTGGCCATACAGTGGGGAGACAGGTCTTAAAAATTCAAAATATAAAATATTCAAATCCAGAAATTAGAAATCTAATTTTTTTTTTATTGTTCATAGTTTTTGATGATTATTTTACTTTTGTTAATTTTATATTTTCTGTATATATGCTGTGAATGTGTTCATATATCACTATAATTATTGTCCATGTGACAGATTATTATATTCCTAAATAAATAAATTAAAAAAAAAATGTTTTATACCATGAACATTTTTTTTATTTGTAAGATTGAGAGAAGTCCTTTATTATTAAAGTCTTTCTTGATTCATTTAAAAAGTATAATGTGATTATGGATAACACACCTCTTGTTACATCACCACATGTAATAAAATATTGTATTTTTTAAATTATATTTTTAAAGACAAGATATTTCTTTTCTCCTTCGTTACCCTGTGTATTTTTTAAATTAATAAATTAAATTAATATTTTTTTTAAATTAATAAAATAATTGTAATAGAACTGCCAAGTAAATCAGTGTAACTTGCTCACCATTTTATTGGGCACATAACATACTGTTTGGAATTTATTAAGTACTCAGGTTATCGGTCTGGATAGAATTTCCTTATAATTTGGTATACTATAATTGTTATAGTATATAACATAGTATAGTATATATAACATATTTGATACACATTCTTAAATTGTTTTGTTTCAATTTTATTTTTATATATCATGATAATTATTCTGTGTATATCGACTTGTTGAAAACGTATTGTCCATAAAAAGCAGACAGTAATAGTTTAAATAAGAAAATAGTATTAAATGAATAACTCATCAATAATAATTATTTATGTAATGATTAGTAATTCAAGTGTTAGCTTTCTGAGTCGTATTTATTACAATACGATTAAGAATTCACGACCAAATATGAGCTCATATGATTTATGACTTGATTAGACTGGAGGGGTTCATGGCCAAACATCAGAAAGGAACGAATCATTTCGACTTTTTTCTTTCCTTCCTTCTTCTTTTATTATTTTTTTTCTTTAAATGCGAATCCTTAAGGCCAACAGGTACAATTTACAGAACTGACGAACTTTTGATGGTATGTTGAGGTCTTTTTGAACACGACTCATCAAGGATGAACACGCACCATGTTTTATCTTTGGATAAATCTTTCTGTCACATAAACAAGTTTTTAACGACTACAGTATAATATTTTATTTTACATATAAAAGAGCGGGACGGGCTGTAACGAAGACACCAAATTTCTTATCCCCAGAATTATTTTTCCCTTATTATGCTTACAAATTGGCAATTAGAATAATTATAATTATATAATAACATAAATTGTCAATAATGGGCGATGTATAATATAGATTTTTAAAGAAATTAAAAATTTGTTCGAACTGTTGTTTTGTTCCGTTTATTTTATATTGATAAAATTACAGTTATAGTATTTGAGCAATGAGTAATACAATTAAATGAACCGTTGTAAAATTTGTAAAATGAGGGTTGGTCTGCCGTTAGGCCCTCTAGTTAAATTAAATTATTTTTAAAAGTCGTCTCCAAAATAATCCCAAATGTTTCTGTTATAGACTCCAACAATTTATTAAAATTAAGTATATTTTTGTTCTAATAAAAAAAAATCATAACAGATAGTAAATATTTTTTTCTCGAAACAAAACTATAATATTGCATTTAAAATTATTCCAATATTTGATTTTTATTTAGTTATGAAAAAAAGCAATGAGTATTTGGAAAATATTTGTTAATACAATTAATCATTAAAATTGTTCATGAAAATGTAACGTAGCACTTTGTCTGTTATGAAGGAATAAATGTGTTTAATAAAAGCACGGGTGGATCGACGGGAGGTGGGAGGGAAGCTTTGGGGCTGAAGCCCCTCCCAAAATGGTAAAATATAATCATGTTTTATGGAAAAAAATATTAAAAAATGATCTCTTAAAATATTATTTTTCGTGTAATTACATTTAAAAGGACTTT